CTATTATATTCTCATTTTTTAAAAGATTTACTTATTTATTTGAGAGGCAGAATTACAGAGAGAGGAGGAGACAGAAAGAGAGGTCTTCCATCTGCTGCTTCACTCCCCAAATGGCTGCAATGGCCAGAGCTGGGCCAATCCGAAGCCAGGAGCCAGGAGCTTCTTCCAGGTCTCCCACGTGGGTGCAGGGGCCCAAGGATTTGGGCCATCTTCCACTACTTTCCCAGCTTTCTCAGGCCATTAGCAGAAGCTGGATTGGAAGAGGAGCAGCCAGGACATGAACCAGGTCCCCTGTGGGATGCCGGCACCACAGGCAGAGGCTTAACCTACTACAGCACAGTGCCAGCCCCCTGCTAAGTTCTTACCTGATTTGTATAAGCAGAAAGCCCTAGGACAAGAGCTCACAGAGACTGAAGAGTCCCACAACAGCTTTCTGTAAGCTGCAGAGCCAGAAAAGCAGGCAGAAGAAACCTGAGAACCAGGGAGGCTGATAATGTGCACCCCAGTCTGACGTTCAAGGCCTCAGAGCCCCTGCAGGGTGGCTGGTGCTGGGCCAAGAGTCCAAGGGCCAACGAACATGGAGTCTGATGTTGTTCAAGGGCAGCAGCAGGAGAAAAATGCACCCCACCTGGGGGAAGAACTAGAGAGAATTTTCCTCTGCTTCCACTCTGCTGTTCCATCCGGGCCCCGCAGCTGATTGGATTGTATACAGCCACACCGAGGGTGGGTCTCCCCTAATCAGTTTACTGACCCACATGCCAATCTTCTCTCAAAATACCCTCACAGGCACCCAGAAGTATACCAATTCTCTAGTCATCCCTCAGTCGTCGCCTAAATTTAACACTCACATATGGGCTGTTAAACATAGATGCTTAGGCACCAAGGCAACCTGCTGCCACAACCACTGTGTGCTCAGTGTGCCAGCAACAGAGACTAGCTCTAAGTCCCCAAGGTGACCAGTTCCCTAGGGTGACCAGTTAGCTACCTGGTAGCGGACTAATTACATTGGTCCACTTCCTCATAGAACAAGCAGGGTTTTCATTCTTTTAAAGATTGATTGATTTGAAAGGCAGACTGACAGGGAAAGAGGGAGAGGAAGAGAGAGATCTTCCATTCACTGGTTCATATCCTGAATGGCCACAACAGCCAAGTGTGGACCTGGAGCCAGGAACTCCATCCTGGTCTCCCACATGGGTGACAGGGCCAAGGTTCTTGGTCTGTCTTCAGCTGTTTTCCCAGACAGATTAGCAGGAAGCTAGATCGGAAGCAGAGCAGCCAGGATTTGAACCGGTGCTCTTATATGGGATGCCAGCATCACAGGCTATTGTTTAACTCTCTGTGCTACAACACTAACCCCCAGTATTTTATTCTTAGTGGAATAGACATTTTCTGTAGATTCAGATTTGCCTTCCCTGCATGCAATGCTTGTGCCTAAACTATCTATGGAATTATAGAATGACTTCATTACCATCCTGGTATCCCACCAGCACTGCTTTTGATCAGGGAACTCAGATTACAGCAAAAGAGGTCTACACTCATAGGATTTGCTAGTCTTGCTATGTTCCCTACCATCCTGTGGCAGAATGGTGGAAAGACCTTTTGAGGACTTGCTAAAGTTCCAGCTAGTTTGCAGTACCTTGAAGGGCTGGAACAAGATTCTTCAAAAGCCTATGTGTGCTGAATTTATGTCCAGTATATGGTGCTGTTTCTTCCATAGCCAGTATCCATAGGCCCTGAAATAAAGGAGTAGAAGTGGGAGTGGTACCACTCACCATGGGTATGAATGCCAAGTTGACAAGAGTGGTTAATTTTCTGTGTCCACCCTGATTGGGACAGGAAGTGCCCAGATATTTCGTTAAACATTATCCTGGGTGTGTCGGTGTTTCTGGATGAGATTGCCATTTGAATGGGTAGAGGGAGAGAGGCTGGTAGCTGTCCCCAGTGGGTGGGTCTTATCCAATCCATTGGAGATCTGAGTAGAACAAAAGGTAGGGTGAGGGGGGAATTCACTCCGCCTGATTTCCAGCTGGGATAGTCTTCTTTCATGCTGAGACCTGAACTTGCACCGTCTGCTTACCTGGTTCTCCAGACCATTGCACTGCAATTTCTACCATTGATTCTCACGGTTCTTAGGTGTTTGGTCTTTACAGGAATTACATCACCAGCTCTTCTGGGTCTCCAGCTTGCGCATGGCAGGTGGTGGGATGTCTCAGCCTTCATAACTGTGTGAGCCAATTCCTTCTAACAAATTTGTAACACACACAAGCCTACTTCAAAAGGTTTGGAATAAAAAAAATAAGCTTATTTTGATGCAAAAATATTTTTAAGTCCATGCATAGGTTTTTGTTCATAATACCTATTTTCCATGAACTTTTTGAAGCACACACATGTTATATAATCTTATATATGTATATCATATATGTACACACACATCTGTACCTGTGTATATAAGGAGAAAGAGGGAAATAGTTTGTGATTTTTGTGTCGTATTTGAGAATTCTTTGCCAAACCCAATGTTAAGAAAAGTTATGTTTTCTTATAGTTTTTTTTTTTTTTAAGATTTATTGATTTACTTGAAAGTCAGAGTTACACAGAGAGAGAAGGAGAGGCAGAGAGAGAGGTTTTCCATCCGCTGGTTCATTGCCCAAATGGCCGCAACGGCCAGAGCTGTGCCGATCCTAAGCCAGGAGCCAGGACCTTCTTCTGGGTCTCCCACGTAGGTGCAGGGGCCCAAGGACTTGGGCCATTTCTGCCTTCCCAGGCCATAGCAGAGAGCTGGATCAGAAGTGGAGCAGCCGGGACTCAAACCGGCACCCATATGGGATGCTGGCACTGCAGGCAGCGGCTTTACCCATTATGCCACAGTGCTGGCCCCTTCTTATAGTTTTACTTTATTTTTTAAAAATTTATTTAGGACCCGGTGCTGTGGCACAGTGGGTTAAAGCCCTGGCCTGCAACACCGGCATCCCATATGGCTGCTCCTCTTCTGATCCAGCTCTCTGCTATGGCCTGGAAAAGCAGTAGAAGATGACCCAAGTCCTTGGGCCCCTGCACCCATGGAGGAGACCCAGAAGAAGCTCCTGGCTCCTGGCTTTGGATCAGCTCAGCTCTGGTTGTTGCAGCCATTTGGGGAGTGAACCAGCAGATGGAAGACCTCTCCCTCTAGCTCCACATCTCTCTGTAACTGTCTTTAAATAAAAAAAAAAAAAAAAAAAGATTTATTTATTTATTTGAAAGAGAGTTAGAAATCTTCCATCCACTAGTTCACTCTCCAGATGGCTACAACAGCCAAGGTTGGGTCAGGCCAAAGCCAAGAGCCAGGAGCTTCATCCAGGTCTCCCACATGGGAGGCAGGGGCCCAATCATTTGGGCCATCTTCCACTGCTTTCCCCAGGCACATTAGCAGGGAGCTGCATCAGAAGTGAAGCAGCTGGAACTCAAACCGGCCTCCAGCATTTTATTTATTAAAGAAAGCAGAAATAGAGGTGAAAGAGGGACACAGAGCCCAAGCTTGATATGAAACAGTTATGGCCAAAATGTTACTAATTTTTAATCTTATTAAGGAGATGCCTAGGTATCTATTACCTTATTATTTGTGCTTTTCTATATGTTTCAAATTATTTGCATTTTCTATTTTTAATTCATGCCAAAGATAAAGAAAGGATGCAAGGATAGTGTGAATAGGGGCTGGCACTGCAGCACAGCCAGTTAATTGAACTTGCTCCCCTATCAGAGTGCCAATTTGAGCCCCAACTGCTCTGCTTCTCGAACAGCTCCCTGCTAACGTGCTGAGAAGGCAGCAAAAGATGGTGCAAGGGCTTGGGCCGCTGCCGCCTGTGTGGGAGACAGGGCTGGGGTTCTTGGCTCCTGACTCACAGCTTCAGCCTGGCTCAGCCCTGGCTCTTGTGGCCATTTGAAGAATGAACCGGCAGATGGAAAATTCTCTTTCTCTCTCTCTCTCTCTCTGCCTTTCAAATAAATAAATATTTTTTAAAAAATAGTAGGAATAACTTTTTCCCCCGGAATTGTTTGTAAGTTGATAACTTGATGCCTTATTAACTCTGAATACTCTTGTGTACCAAAGTAGGACATTCTCCTAGGTAACTCAGTAAAGCCATCAGAACCCTGGAAATTAATATTAGATATGTTTACCACCATATCACCTATGGACCCCATTAAAGTTTCGCCAGTTGTTCCCAAAATATCCTTTAGAGCAAAAAGAACCATGCCAGAATCCATGTTACACTGGACTGTCCTGTCACTTTAGTCTCCTTCCATAGGGAAGCTTCTTGGCCTTTTTTTGACATTTGTGACCTTGGCGCTTGCTTTTGAAGTTTGCAGCTCAGTTTTGGATGCCCCGCAGGTGTGCATGTCAGCTGTCTCCCTGTGATTTGGTCCGGGTTGTGCGCTTTTGTCGGGAGTCACAACAGAACGGGTGTTCTGAGTGTGTTCTGTCTGTTCTGATTTGCCACAGGCCTGGTAGTGTTTGCTTTGAACCCTGGCTTGCAGAAATGTCTGCCAGGTTTCTCCACTCTGAAGTTAGTTTTTGTCCCCCTGTGATGAGTATTTTGTGGGGAGGTATTTTGCGACTGTGGAACATCCTCATCACGTTTCCAACTGCTAGGTTTAATATTTGTTGATATTTTGTGGCTTAATTATTACTGTCATGGTTACTAAACGATATATTTTAATTCCATTTTTTCTTCCTACATTAGTTACTTGTCAGTTTAGAGGAAGAAAAGGCTCTTTTCTTCTTCCAATTCGTTATTTATTCCTATCAGGATGGCTCATGGGTTCTTGTTTTATTTAGTGGGTCTTAATCTTTTACTGTCATTAGTTTTATGTTCAAATTGTCCCAGATTTGCCCAGTGGGAGCCCTTGGAAGCTGGCTGCTGTATGCTTTGTCATGTCTCTGTTCCTCTTCTTCTTTTTGTTTTTTTTTTTCAAAGATTTTTATTCATTCATTTATTTATTTATTTAAAGATTTATTTATTTGAAAGGCAGGATCACAGAGACGGGGAGAGAGATCTTCCATTCACTAGTTCACTCCACAAATGGCTACAGGAGTCAGATCTGGGCCAGGCTGAAGCCAGGAGCCAGGAGCTCCATCCGGGTCTTCCTCATGGGTGACATGGGCCATCTTCCACTGCCTTTCCACACCATTAGCAGGAAGTTGGACTGGAAACCGAGCTGCTGCGACTGGAACTGGTACCAGGATATGGGATTCGGGCATCAGAAGCTGTGGTCTAACCCACTGCGCCACCTAGGAAGGAAAGGAGGTAAGGGAAGGAGGGCGTGGAGTGGAGCAGCTGGGACTCGAACCGGCACCCATATGGGATGCCGGTGTTGCAGGTGGTGGCTTTACCCACTACACCACAGCACTGGCCCTCATGATTAGTCTTTAACCAGGATGAAGCCTCCAGTCATCTTGATTGCTGATTGTCCATCCTAAGAGCACTGTTACCTACTCTTGTACTAAGACAGAAAGGAAATTAGGTTTCCTGATTAGACCAGGTGTGGCTCATCTGTGTCCATGACAACATGTCTAATGGTGCATATGACTTCACCAAAAGGAACTGTGGTGGAGGTTATTAGCCGAACACATTTAATGGAGAATGGAATTTAGAAATGAATTCCACAATAGCCACGTCCAAGAGAGCTCTCCAAGACTCTGTTTTTCACCTCGGACTGTCTCTGAGATGTGCAAGTATCTAGCAGAGAATTTGCTGCAGGTACTCATGGAGAGCTATGCCCTGCAGCTTTTGCTGTATCACATCAGGTTAGAGATGTGAGAGGTGTCTTGGATGGGGTGTGCCAGGCCTGGGCCTGTGCTGGATGCCTAATATTACAGCAGGTTCAGGGAGACTCGAACCCATGCTTGAGTGTAGATTCTGAAGTCCCAGGTCCCAGCCCTCCCTTTCCTACATAGTAGCAGCAGGACCTTCCCACAGTTGCTTAGCCTCTTTGTGCCTCAATCTTTTCATCTGTAAAATGGGAATTCTACTTCACAGAGTTGTCTAGAATATATCCTTAGAAAAGTACCTGACACTCGAGATGGATTCTCTTTGAACCTAAGGACACTTTGGTGTCACGGACTCTCATTTGCACAAATCCAAGGCTTTATACTTAACTTTGTCATTTTTCATTCTTTTTCTTAAGGAGACCTCCCTCCTCCCCAGGGGGGCAGCACTATGGTGTAGTGGGTAAAGCTGCCACCCACGGTGCTGGCATCCCATATGGGCGCTGCTCCACCTCTGATCCAGCTCTCTGCTATGGCCTGGGAAAGCAGTGGAAGATGGCCCCGGAACCAATGTGGGAGACCTGGAACAAGCTCCTGATTCCTGGCTTTGGATTGGCCCAGCTCCAGCCATTGTGGCCATTTGGGGAGTGAACCAGCAGATGGAAGACTGCTCTCTCTCTGTCTCCTCCTCTCTCTGTAACTCTGCCTTTCAAGTAAATAAATTAATTAATTTTAAAAAAGAGAACCTTCCCCCCCAAATTGTATAAACTTCAGGTCCCACTCAGTCTGGGTCTATCCATCTAATACAAAGTAAATATTTTGCAAATGTTAGTTATTACTTACATTAGGTATATATTTTTAAACCTAAAACACCTATTTTTTTTTAAAGGATTTATTTATTTATTTGAAAGGCAGAGTTACAGAGAGGCAGAGGTAAAGAGAGAGAGAGAAAGGTCTTCCATCCACTGGTTCATTCCCCAAATGCCCAGAACTGAGTTGATCAGAAGCCAGGAGCCAGGAACCTATTCGGGTCTCCCACATGGGTGCAGGGAGCTGGACTGGAAGTGGAGCAGCTGAGACTTGAACCAGTGTCCATATAGGATGCCAGAACTGCAGGCGGCAGCCTCACCCACTACGCCACAGCGCTGGCCCCTTTACATTCAATATTAAGAGTGATTCTCCCCAGTTGCCCCTCTTCTAGGCCAGCTCTCTGCTGTGGCCAGGGAGTGCAGTGGAGGATGGCCCAAGTCCTTGGGCCTTGCACCCCATGGGAGACCAGGATAAGTACCTGGCTCCTGCCATTGGATCAGCGCAGTGCGCCGGCCGCAGCGCGCTGGCTGCGGCGGCCATTGGAGGGTGAACCAACGGCAAAGGAAGACCTTTCTCTCTGTCTCTCTCTCACTGTCCACTCTGCCTGTCAAAAAAAAAAAAAAAAGTGATTCTCCAAGATATTTTGTTTTTGTCTTTTTTTAGTTGCTCATCTTACAGAATGCTAATCTATAAGGTAATCCATAATGTCGCCCATTACTTCCATCCATTCCCCCATTTTAAAATATATTAATTGAGTGGCTACTATGTCACAAGTGGTTACAATTCTGTGGCTAAAACAGACATTTGTATAAATACAGAATGAGTATCCCTTACCTGAAATGCTTGGAACCAGAAATGTTTTGGATTTCAGATGTTTTGGGATTTGGGAATATTTTTTCATATACATACTGAGATATCTTGAGGGTGGAACCTAATTTAAGCCTGAAGTTGTTTTATGTTTCGTGTACACCTTAATCACATAGTGTGAAGATGATTTTTTGAAACTTTATTTTAAGGAATACAAACTTCATGCATATCATATATACAAACTTAGGAACATAGTGATTCTTCCCACCCTCCCTCCCTCCCGCCGAAGTAACTTTTTTATAAAGATTTATTTATTTATTTGAAAGGCAGAATTATACACAGAGAGAAGGAAAGACAAAGAGGTAGAGAGAGAGACAGAGAGATTCCATCTGCTGGTTCACTCCCAAAATGGCCACAACAGCTGGTGTTGGGCCAGGCTGAAGCCAGGAGCCTGAAGCTTCTTCCTGGTCTCCTCTATGTGGGTGCAGGGGCCCAAGGACTTGGGCCATCCTCCACTGCTTTCCCAAGTATATTGGCAGGGAGCTGGATCCAAAGTGGAGCAGCCTGGACTTGAACTGGCACCCATATGGGATACCAGTGCTATAGGCTGGGCTTAACCCTCTGTGCTATAGCACTGGCCCCTGAAGGTAATTTTATATAATATTTGAAATGTTCTTGTTTGTGTGTGTTTTAAATTTTTTTATTTGGGCCGGCGCTGTGACTCACTTGGTTAATCCTCTGCCTGCAGCGCCGGCATCCCATGTGGGCACCGGGTTCTAATCCTGGTTGTTCCTCTTCCAGTCCAGCTCTCTGCTGTGGCCCGGGAGTGCAGTGAAGGATGGCCCTAGTCCTTGGGCCCCTGCACCCGCATGGGAGACCAGAAAGAAGCACCTGGCTCCTGGCTTCAGACTGGTGCAGCGCCAGCCTTAACGGCCATTTGGGAGTGAACCAACGGAAGGAAGACCTTTCTGTCTCTCTCTCTCACTGCCTATAACTCTACCTGTCAAATAAATAAAAAAAAAATTTATTTGAAAGGCATAGTGAGAGAGAGAGAGGCAAATGACACACACATACCACAGAGAGAGAGACGAGGGAGGGGAGAGAGACTTCCATCTGCTAGCTCCCTCTCCAAATGCCCGCAACAGCCAGGGCTGGGTCAGCCCGAATCCAGGAATCAGGGTGGCAGGGGCCCAAGCACTTGGGCCATCATCCACTGCTTTCCCAGAAGCATTAGCAGGGAGCTGGATCAGAAGTGGAGGAGACAGACACAGGCTTCCCAAGCAGTGGCTTGACCTGCTGTACCACAGCACCGCCCCGGTGCCTGTGTTTTGACTGCAACCCATTCCATGTCAGGCATGGAATTTTCCACTTGTGTCCTCATGTTGGTACTCACAAAGTTTCAGAGTTTGGAGCATTTCAGATCTCAGATTTACAGATGGGGCTGCTTTAAAAAATTATACAATGGTGCTTCAAAAAGTTTGTGGAAAAGTGAGGTTAAAAGATGTGCTGCAACACAATTGAAGTCTATGTGTAGTTTCTTCCTAGTACATACTTTCCACGAACTTTTTGAAAAGCCCTTATATGTACAGCCACATGGAGGAAGACACAAGAAACTAGAGGGGGTTGGTAACGTTAGGCTATGTTCACGCTGCTTTAATGGGTAAGTATGAGATTTGGAAGCTGGAAGAAACCACATATGCAAAGGTCTGGATTCCTCTACTGTATACATCTCTATCAATACTTACATTATGCCAGGTACTATTCTGAGTACTGGGGATACAGCAAGAAACATGGCAGGCAAGGGTGGGGCTTTCCTTGTAGTAATGGCAGCACCAAACAGGGTACTGCAGCAGAGTGTCCTGTGAGTGCATGGGATGTGTGTCTTCTAAAGCAAATTGCGAGAGAAGTCTTTTCAGAAGGGAAACATTGAGGAGAGCTTTGAATGACAAGAAGGACTCCAAGTTGGAGGCCTTGCGCTGCCTGATGTCAGGATTTACCATAAACTTGCGGTCATGAGACAGCAGTGTGGGGGTCAGGATAAACCCCAGGACAGTTGTTTGGCACAGTATTTAAGATGTGTTTTGGGAAACCCACATTCCACACTGGAGTTCTTGGTTTCAAGTACTGCCTCTGCTCCTGATCCAGCTTCTTGCTAACGCACACCTAGAGACATCAGGCGATGGCTTAAGATCTTGAGTCCTTGGCCACCCAAGTGGGAGACCTAGATAGTTTGTGGCTCCCATCTTGAGCCTGGCCCAGTGTTGGCTGTTGTAGAATTTGGAGAGTGAACCAGCAGAGGAAAGATCTTGCTCTGTCTCTGTCTCTCCTTCTAATAAAATGAAAGTAAATTAAAAATCTTAATTATTAAAAAAGGATAAACATATCAATGGAAGAAAATAAACAATTCAGACACCAGCCTAACTGTATATGGTCAATTGAATTTCAAGAAAAGTGTCAAGTTAATTTAATGGAGAAAAATATTCAAAACTGTCATAGGGAAACATTTAGACAGCTGTATGCAAAAGGAAAAAAAAAAGAACTTTAATTCCTACTTCGTACCAGATAAAAAAGCTATGTTGAGGGGCGGGTATTGTGGTGCAGCTGGTTAAGCCACTGCTTGGTGTGCTGGCATCCCAGTAGTGGAATGCCTGGGATTGAGTCCCACCTTCACTCCCATCCACTTCCTGAGAATGTGCACCCTGGGAGGCAGCAGGCAACACTCCAGTGCTTGAGTCTCTGCAGCCCACTTGGGAGACCTGGATAGAGTTCCTGGCTCCAGGCTCCTGGCCCTGCCCTAGCTATTGCAGGTATTTGAGGGTGGATGGGAGTCTCTCTCTTTCAAATAAATAAACTTTTTAAAAAAGTTATGTTGCAATGGATGACAGACCTAAACAGAAGCTTAGAACTATAAATATTCTAAAA